TGAATTGAATTAAATAAAGTAGGAACCCTATCTACCATCACAGGTATACTTAGCACATAAAATAGTGCTCGACACAGTTACCTGTTCAAATAATATTGTTAAATTACATATCACAGAAAATTTTAAAAATAGATGTCATTAGCTCATATCAAGTATTCATTTCTTTTGATGCAAGTCAATGGCATTTCAAGACATGTGTATTTCAGGTACACAGGGATCCTGAAGTCTGGTTTTTTCCAATCCTGAGAATTAGAACAGTCAAAAGAATCGATAGATTAAATATCACTCAATTCTCAGACCATTGATAAGATCTGGGTAATAAAATCTCAGATATACTTTTAAGAAACAAAATGAGTAGCTGGCGATATAGCTCAGTGGTACAGCACTTGCCTAGCATGTTTGAGGCTCTGGGTTCAATCTTTAGCACATCAAAAAGAAAAAAAGAATAATGGAATTCTATGCTGCTGGCACCATCTTGAAAAATTAGGCTGTGAAAGACAGAACAAGGATCTGGTCTACATTCCTTTGAACAAAAAAACAAAACACAAAGGGTTGATCCCTAAATGTCTATACCATTTAAGAGTTTCTCAGACTATAATTCTTTAAAAATGAAAAGTTCTCTCAAAGCAATATAGAAAATCTCACAAGCATACTATGAAGCAAAAGAAATCAAACATAAATGAAAATACATGGTATATTTTTGTCTTAAGTGAAGGGCAAAAAAGAGCACGAGGCACACACCTATAATCTCAGCAGCTCAGGAGGCGGAGGCAGGAGGATCATGAGTTCAAAGCCAGCCTCAGCAAAAGTGAGGCGCTAAGCAACTTAGTGAGACCCTGTCTCTAAATAAATAGGGCTGGGGATGTGGTTCAGTGGCTGAGTACCCCCGAGTTCAATCCCTGGTACCACTCCCACCAAAAAAGGGGGGAGGGGAGCACCAGAGAACTTTCAGAAGTGATGGAAATGGTAGATATCTTGACTTAGGTGTTGGTTACAAGGGCATATACAGTTGTCAAATTTTTTTTTTAAAAATTCACTGGACCACATACTTTATAATTTAACAGGAGTAAATTAGAACAATTTAAACTAATAAAATTGACCTACAAGGAGTATTCTGGAAGAGGAAAAAATAAGACAAATATAAACAGATTTCATTACTGCAGGATCTCTCACAGCCTTTAATATGCTAATGCACACTGTACATTTCCTAAAGGAGGCTATGGGATGCAGTATGTTGCAGATTTATGTGCTCAAAGAACTTTTTTTTTTTCCTTCTACACAACATCTATAAGGCACTAATGTTTCAGAAACCCAATAACTTCAGCATAAAAAATTTCAGGACTACAAATACTACTGCAGCCAGTTAGAAAAATAAATCAACATCTAATTTTTAAGCAATCACTTTCTGGTGAACTCTTCAGAATAAACTAATTGTAAAATGCACCCCCATATATAAGGTCCAATTAATTACTGATGGCATTCTGCCCAGAATAATAAATTTAGTTTTGGAGTTGTTGACCTTAAATTCCTCTGGCTATATTTCGGAAGTAAAGTCAGTTGTCAATTGAAGAACTCCAAGTTTATGCCACGGGAGCAGTCACCCACATATAGACCACACTTATCCTTGTGTTCCCTGAATGACATCCATCTCATCCAGGTGCTATTGAGGCATCAAAACACAAGTTTAAAAAATCTTAGATTAGACCCCCAGGATGTCAGCTCTGAGACAGACTTGAGTGTCAGAAGGTTTACTGGGAAGAGCTCACAGACCACCTGTAGGGGATGGGAGAGGGCTTTACAGGGTCCAGAAGCATTTTAATTGTGATTTGTTCTCAAGAAAAACCTCAGGGATCCTGTAGAGGGTTCTGGAACCAGAGAGGCCCTGAGGGTTATTCAGCCTAAAGACAAGAGGGTTAGACGTTGACAACCTCAGATCAGACTAGTCCTTATATGCAGGCTGTCCTGGGGACAGGGCTTGACCATGGGCAAGAAGTTCTCTATGGCTGAGGGTAATTTGCAGAGAACCGAGAACCATTTCCAGCAACGGGGAAAGTGAGCGCCTGAGGTGTGAAGGGAGAGCTGGACAGCACGTCAGCATACAAATCAGCAGCCAAGGGACCCCAGTCTCGCCAAACTCAAAAGGAATCTCAGACCTGAAAAAAAAAAAAAAAATTCTACCAAATCTGACAATCATGCTACTAATGGGCAAGCTCTGTTTAAGAATCAGTAGCCAAAGTCCTAGACTGTGTTCATATTGTTTTTTCTATAACAAAGCATCATAAAACTGCAAATAATCTTAGATGGTTACTAACAACTCTACTTCAGAGTGTAAATCATAGAACAAGAAACTCGCTGACTACTTTGGCCGCAAGGAGAAGCTTAAAGGTTCTTCGTGAGGTATGAGACATCCGACTTCTCTAAGGAAATAAGAAATCCATAAAACAAAATTTTACTTCAAAATGATTTAGAGTGGACAAGCGTGGTGATGCATATCTATTATCAGAGCAGCTTCAGAAACTAAAACAGGAGGATTGCAAGTTCAAAGCCAGTCTCAGCAATTTAGTGAGGCCCTAAGCAACTCAATGAAACCATGTCTCTAAAAAAATAAAATGATCTGGGGATGTAGCTCAGTGGTTAAGGACCCTTATGTTTGATTCCTGGTACCAAAAAAAACACAAAGATTTACAGTCATTGTCTAACACAAATGTTTTTTTAAATTCGTTTGTCCTCCGAGTATCACATTGGACAAAGTAATTTTTTAAAAGATTCTAGACTTCTCCCCAATTCTCCTTTTTAATTTTGTCAACAATTCAATCTAAGCATATCTGCTGAGTAACATACTTTTTGAGACACCAGGCTTTATATTAAAGGTATAGAGATAAACAGGAAACTCCCTATGGAAGAGAAGATAGACACGTAAACAGGTCATCATAAATCCGCCATATGTTCATTCATTCATTCAAGTATATCTAAGAACCAACCATGAACAGGATAGACAACTCTTGCCTTGATGAACTTATGTGCTACCTGTGAGTACTACAATGGAAGATAGTAGAAGATGCCACGGGCTTTTGAAGATGAGCCATAGCAAACCTGATGAGAATAGGCTTGGTAACAATAGCAACTAACCTTTATTGTGTACTTAAACTGTGTCTGGCACATCCAGCAATTGATTTAGCTTTTGAATTAATCCTGAGGCAGGGATAGTATTAATAACATTCCCTATATACAAATGAAGAAACTAAAATATAGATGAAATACCTTCATCAAGCTCAAAAGGTAGTTAAAAGCTTCATTAAGGTTAAAAATGTAGTAGGTGGTGGGTCTGTGATCCTCAGAGGAGATAACTTTGGAATTGAGCCTTGAAAACTGAGTAGGAATTTGCCAGATGGACACCGAGAGGGGCAGCGAGAGCATTCCAGACACATGGAACTGCAAGTTCACAGAGGTAAACATGTCCAGAAATGCACAAGTCTGCAGGTAGGCTGCTCAGGAGAGGAGCAAAAGTTAGAGCCTGAAAAGTAAGGGCGCTGGGGAGATAGCAGACTAAGAAAGAAATCATACAGCCCCCAAGGAAGAGACTGGAAGAATGGAGGCAAGGGGATGATGCGAATTTTGTGATAATATCAATACGAATACAAATAAAATGGTTAACATGCACCAAGAGCACCCTATATGCCAGACTCAGACTAAATATTTGCAAATTTTATCGCATTCTAGCTTGACTACAACCCGCTGAACAAGGTACTGCTTTTATTGCCTTGTATAAAGGGAGAATGCTAAGCTTTAAAGGGAGCCACCAGATTGTTTGGGAGTCTCCTATTTTTGAGTTCGAGAGCTGGAATTCAAACCCAAACAAGTGTGATTCCAGAGCTGTGTTCTCAGCTGCATGCTCTACTGCACATGTGTTTGATGTGGTGGGGCAGGAGGATGGCCACAGGGCAGCCCAGGAAGCAGATGAAGCAGTCCTCAACCAAAGAGCATCCACCTACCTGTGGGTTGGAGACGAGATTGGGGAAACATGCATACAGAGGTAGCCCTGGACCCTTAGTGAGATCTGGCAGTGAGAAGGAAGGAAGAGTCATGTAGTATCACCAGCTAGCTGTAGGATGAGGTGACTCCATGAACCAGGAGAAGGGGTGGAGATAATCCTAGAGATATAAGTGGGACAAGGGAGAATGACAGACTAGGCTGCAGATGGAAGCATCCAGAAGGCAACCTGATATTTAGGTCTGGAACTGAGGGGAAATTATTACCTTTGAAGGTACAAAATTTGGCCACGAACATTTTGAAGGCGTGAGAATGGTTGCATTGTCTAAGGGGAATGTAAAGAATAAGCAAAGGCCAGAGATGGTCAGAAACCTAGAAAGTCCCAACTATCAGGAAGGAATCCATTTTCTCATCTGTAAAAATACGGAGCTACATTTGCCTTCCTTAAAATCTACTTGGAAAACATGGAAACAAATTAAAACAAACAAACAAACAAACAAAAACTCCTTGGGAAACAGCTTACATATAAAGCATGTTGTCATTAGTGTTATTTCTGGGGAAAAAAAAAACTCATCCTCTATCACATGTGAAGTTTTAAACTACTTCTGGGTAGTACATTTCTGAAGAAAAATAATCTAGCTGAATGGTGTACATATTTAGCCATAAATAAAAATAGCACTATAAGTTTATCAGTGTTATTGCCTTTCCTGCCACCCTGAGCCCATGTTGCGGAAGTCAAGTAATTCCACTTGGCTCTAACACAGTTGGCTTTGGATGGAAGTGATGTATGCTTCCAGCTCTCAGGACATTCCATTTTCTAGCCTTATTTATGTTCTTGCTTCACCCTTCAAGCTAAAAGATTAAGCACTGTGTGGCTTACCTGCCTCATCAAGAATCTGCACAAAAGAGCATTTCTCCAGTTTCTTTTTTAAAGCAAAGAAAAACTTCCCAATGTTAACATGTAGCAAAAAAAAAAAAAGCCTGTTTGGTCCGCCCTCCCCGGCTGTTGCTACCTTGCAGTTTATGACATACACATAGAGGGAGGTCTGATGAAGTGAAGGAGGCAGCCAGAGAGCAGCTCCATCCCCGTGGAAACCAGGAACCCCTGGGTGCAGACAGCTCTTCCGACTTTCCCGTGCAGTTCTTTTGTGTCACTTTGAGAGGGGCTTGTGGATGATTTATCAATGTGTGCCTGCTCAGGCGAGCCCCACAGGGAGGGAGGACCCAAGCCGAACGGTGGCAGAGGAAGCCAACACAGACCTCACAGTGCTGGAACTGGCTCGACTCTTGTATGCAGTTTTTGAAGTCAGCAAAAGAGAAATCAAATTACTATCATATTATGCTGCTACAAGCTCAGGAAGAGGGGATTTTACACCGGCTTCATTACTATTCGAGAAGCAGCTAGGCACAGAATATCCAAGTATGTCTACCGCATGGACCCCTGAAGACAAATGTAAGTTTTCATGCTGCTCTCATTTTATTGCTGTGTAATTTTCTTTTCTGGTTTGAAATCATGCTTGGCCAAAATGTAATCATTTCCATGAGAATTTCTGGTGTGGAAAGTTGTCTGCTAATCTTCAGGACTTTTTCTTTTTCCTTTTGTTAACTAAGCAACATAATACAAGCTGAAATTCCTGATAGCAGTTGCGGCAATTCAGCCTAAGACTGACAGAACTATAACCCAAAGTATATCCCATTACTATGGGTTTAACTCTGGATGCAATTTTAATGGACTTTCCTAATGTAGACTGTATACATCCTCACTGTTTTGGATTGCATGCTATTTGAACATTACTGTGGCTAAAACTAGGTGATCAGCCTATCCAATCAAATGAGATATAACTAAGAGAGATTCTTAGTAGTTACAAAACTTTTCTTCTTTGGCCAGGATCACATTTGACTTCCTGAATTCTCAAAACTCTGCAACCTCTGTGATAAAAGTTCATTCTGCTTATTTTGCCCTTCTTTGGTGGAAAAAAAAAAATACAACCCAACAGAGGACGCCACTAAAATTGTGAAGGCAAGCAATCTAAAGAGCATTGCCATTCTTAACTACTATCATAATAATGGGAGAGGGAAAAGACTGCAAAGGAGTCCCACATGTACATCAGCATCGGCACGACAGAGCTCGGGGATAGAAAGTTAAACGTTGAGCAGAGGCTATAACTTGTCAGTCTTTCAACACTTCATCTGCTACAAGTTCCGACTCCAACATGGATATTCTCTGTGAAGAAAATTCTTCTTTGAGCTCAACTCCGAACTCCTTAATGCAATTAAATGATGGCACAAGGCATTATAATAATGACTTTAACTCTGGAGAAGCAAATACTTCTGATGCATTTAACTGGACAATGGAGTATGAAAACCAAACCAACCTTTCCTGTGAAGGGTGCCTCCCACCAACATGTTTCTCCTTACTTCATCTCCAGGAAAAAAACTGGTCTGCTTTATTGACAGCTGTAGTGATTATTCTAACCATTGCTGGAAACATACTCGTCATCATGGCAGTGTCCCTAGAGAAAAAGCTGCAGAACGCCACCAACTATTTCCTGATGTCACTTGCCATAGCCGATATGCTGCTGGGTTTCCTTGTCATGCCCGTGTCCATGTTAACCATCCTGTATGGTGAGTGGCATTAGTTTCCCAGCTGTACCCACACTGATCACAAAGAGCATGTGCATGCTGTTAGCAGGGGCTCAGCGGGTGAACTGTAAATATGAAGGTTTATTTGTAGACCAGGGTCTATCACCATGTTATGCTAGTTACTTAAATTTTAACCCTTAAAATGATGTTTCGCTTGAAAAACAAACATTAGACAACATTAGCTGATCATTTTGGTGTTTTCTATTTACACTTTATGTAGGAAGATAATGATACAAGTTTGTGCTTTAAAACATGGGGGTGTATGCAATAATGATTATAAATATCCCAATATCATCATCAAGCAGTAACTTACCCAAAATTCTGAATCCACTTGATTCTTAATCCTTTACATTCCCATCCAATTATTCCAGACTTAGAACAGTTTGATCTTTGTCACACAGTTTTCAGCACTTCTTAATGGAGTGGTAAAACCTTCCCAATTACCTTGGAACATTTGCAGAGAGAACATTAGTGGTGGAGTGGGTTTAATGTTAAAACATTCAAAGTCTCCATTAGAATAAATGAATTACTCCAGTTTTAATTGTTGCCTGCCCAAAGAAGCTAATTTGGAAAAGTGCCTTTGAGTTATACCCTCAACTCTTTAAAAATGCATATGCATAAAACTCCTCCAGTCTGGTTTGGAGGAGGGTGGAAAACAAATGGAAAGAGATTAATCTTGCTTTCTTCTCAACAGAGTTTGACACAGTCAAACCTCTCAGCGAGTCTGCAAACACTGGGACGGCTTCATTGGGGAGAATGATACTCTTTCCAAAATATGAATGGTACAGGCAGATTTCTCCTTAAACAGAGAGCCAAAGAGAGAACACTGAGGCTGCCGACACTGGCACATTGGCAATCTTCTGGACCTTAGAGATTGGCTAATGAGGTGCCTGTGAGAGGAGATTTTCTAGCCAAGTTTAAAGTCTAATTTTTCTTTTAAAATTCATCTATCCCTGAACAGTATGAAGCGGGTAAGCAAGGGAGAGCAGGCATCAGTTTGTACAGGGTCACTAATGATCACTGCAAGGCTAACCCCCCGCTTCACCATGCAAATGTCACACCTAAATAATTTCATTAAATTTGCCTGTCATTTCCCAGACATTCTGGAGGACTTCTCACTTCTAAAACCCCGCCCCACGCTCAAAGGCAAAATCCAGTGGGGGCGGGAGGTGAGGAGGGTGACTGTGCAGGAACCTCAGCAAGAGGGGGGTGACCGCCCCCAGCCCGGTGCATCCCTCCTTCTCCCCGCCCCCGCCGCCCCCGCAGTATGGGCGGGAGCGCTTTAGCTGGGCTTGGAAGGCGACCACTGGCACCACGGGCTCAGGGTGTAGGGGCGCCCCCTGGCGGCAGCTGCTGGGCTCATGGCTGATTCGGCCCAGATTCCTGCCCCCAACCCCAGACTGGTCCCTATGCCTATGGCAACCTGCGGGGCGCCCAGCAGTCCCACCAAAGGATATGTCCCACCAAACTAAGGTCCGTGGCTGTGGCTGCCTCCTTCCAGGAAAAAAAAAAAAAAACACGCTCTGAGAGGCAACATCAGTTGGGAACAGGCAGAGCCTGCTTCCCTAGCTGGGGTTCTTCCAAAGAAGACTTTCTTTTTGCTCAAGTTCTGTCCTGCACCCTTTCCTTTTCTAAATATCCCTTGTGGCTTCTTGGTAGACAGTAGGCTCACATATGCAGAGTTTGCTCAGCTTTTTGGTCTGTGGTAGCGTAAAGGAAAGCGATCTTTATTACAATTTTCCTTCTCTCATGCAGGCAGATCTAACACCACTGCTTATACTGTTAGCAAAACTAATTAACGCTTTATATAACCACTTGCTCCCTCCAGAACACACTGAAACACGGACACTTTGCTTGTGTTCATAAGGCGTCCTCTATCTTCCTAACACAGGAGATAGCCTGCAGTGGTGCCTGGATTGCAATCTTCCAGGGAGATCTAAAGCCCTTAGAATATTTGTAGCCCACCTCTGGCCATCCTTCTGAGAGAATTATTTAATTCAACTGTTTGGCCTGGGCATCAGAGCCAGAGTCGTGTCTAATGCTCACCAGCTGACTTTAATGTGACATCCAGGAGTAAGAATGGCTGTCTGAGTTCTCCAAGTGTGGTCTTTGGACCAGCAGCATCACCTGAGAATTGGGTAGACATGCAAATTTTTCAGCCTGCTCCAGAGTTACTGGATCAGAACCTCCAGAGGTGGGTCCCGCAGTCCCTGTTCTAAGAAGCACTTAAAAGAGTCACCTGTTCCCAGAAGTTTGAGAACTACTACCCTGAAACAAAGCTCAGAGAAAGGACACAAGTTTCCCCATGTTTGAGGTTAACACCAAAGGTATCAGTAGACAATTATTTTTCATTTTTTTTTTTTTTTTTTTTTTTTTTACAAATAAAGTCCGCATCTGGATTTTTAACCATTTAGCCACTTATACCAATACCATTTATTGCTATTACTGTGAGACTAGATGATAGTTAGGATAATAATACGAAACTAACCTTAGGACTTAAACCCTGAAGAAAAATATGATAGTACAGTGTGAGAGGTACCCAAATAGAGGAACTCAAAACACATCACAACTTTGAACATAATTCATTTGAAAAAGTAGTTTTGCTAGGTGAATAGAGCAGGGGAGAATCCCTAAAGAGTAACCATCCAAGTTAACCATACCACACTGATAATTCTAGACACCAGAAATGTTCAAACTTCATGTTCATCAACCAGGTCAGCAGTACTGCAGTTAAACAGTATTAGAGTTTGTTCAGATACTGAAATTGTCTTGTATCATCCCATGCCACCACTTGTGCCTGTCACCAAAACGGAAACTATTGCCTCAGGAGGCATGAGGCTGCTGACTGATGCTAAGCTTCTCTATTGTAGGGTACCGGTGGCCACTACCTAGCAAGCTCTGTGCGGTCTGGATTTACCTGGATGTGCTCTTTTCCACGGCCTCCATCATGCACCTCTGTGCCATCTCCCTGGACCGCTATGTCGCCATCCAGAATCCCATCCACCACAGCCGCTTTAACTCCAGAACTAAGGCGTTTCTGAAAATCATTGCTGTTTGGACCATATCTGTAGGTAAGCAGGAGCATCTGCTAGACTTGTTTGAAATGACAGTTCATGCCTTCTTGGGAGACTTGTTCTGTTTCATTGCATTGAAACCCGACATTGTGCTGAATCTATTATTTCGGGTGTTGCAAGATTATGCCCTAACATAGTAATTATCAGATTTGCTATAGGAAAAGAAAATCTGTTTATGTCACTGGCTGACGATATTATTTGTATTGCTTTGCCCAGGTAAGAATAAAAATAACAATAGGGACAAAATCAGGAATAGCTGTGCTGTATTCCCCAATTGTCACTTTCAAGTTCACCATTCAGAATTCTGAATCTACCAGAAACCTCTGACTTTATAATCAGTGGACTTATGGTCAATACAAGTGTACAGATGCCCATACCAGAGAACATAAGGCTTCAGGAGAAAGGTACCAGGTTACAACTCAGAGGGAGGTGAGGACAGAGAGAAATGGCAGGACTTGTTTAGGAACCATGCATTTCAGCCTGCTCAGTTCCTCTTGGCCTGTCTCCATTTTTATACCACAGACCACAGGATTTCAACCCACTTTAGTTAGGTGTGTGACAGATGATCAATACTGGCAAGAAGCGAATGTATGTAATCAACCTAAGTCAGGAAATCCCAGGTAATAGAAACCGAAGGGACAGTTCCCAGGCAGCAATATCAATTGTACCCATCACTTCAGCAAGCTTGATTTGTAACCAATGATTCCCTGAGACTTGTTACAAAGTCTCAAAGCTCCTGAGATGGAAATGCCATATATATTTAAGGTCATATGAGTGCCAGTACCTACTTCCATGAGAGGTCATGGGATTTGATGGCAAGTTGAAATTCAAGAACTTGTGTAAAGATGCAACTTTGTCACAAAATACCAATCAATAACAGCCAGCACACAATACAACCTCATATATTTAGTTCCCATTTTTTTTTCCTGCAGTGGGAACTAATATGCAATCAGCAGAGTAGATATCTCCATTTTATAAATGAAGAAACTGGGTTAGTTTCTGCATAGCCCCACAAGTGGTAAGATGTGCAGTGGAATTTTCTTTAATTCTGATGAGAACAGTAACAAGATACATTTGAGTAATTACCAAATTTTTGAAAAGTTTTTTTTTATTTGAGCTACACATTATGGTTTATTTGAACTACACATTATGGTTTATTTGAACTACACATTATGGTTTATGGTAGAAAATTCTATCATGCTTACTTGATAAGTCAGGTAACCAGAAGACAGAGGTCTTGTGGGTTTCTGAGTCATACCTTCAACTTGTGCCACAGCTAGGACTCTGAGCTTCTAGCACCAAACCCTGCTCTTTCTGCTATGGGTAACCACATTCCTTAGGAAATAATTTTTGCTCCAGGAAAATGCTGTGGTTTCTGGGCCTCTGCAATCTAGGATTTATTCTACTAGGAACAAGAGTGAAAGAGCAATAATTTCCAATCCAAGTTGCACATATAAGCCCCCATGGAGAACATTCTGATTTAATTGGTCCAGAATGCAGCCAAATGATTCTTATGTACAGCCAGGGTTGAGGACCACTGAGACAGATTGTCAGAGAGGGAGATAGGATGAGCAAGGTGGGTCAGGTATAAGGCAAATGAAGCAGTAATTAGTAAAGTTACTCTACTTTTACCCCATACACTATCCCATTGGTGAGACAAACTGGGAGGATCCACCATCTCTTATCCTCAGCCATACCAACTCCCTCATCTTAGTCAAGCTTCATAGTAGTACCATTAATAAAGCTAACAGTTTTTAACATTGACTACAGACCCAGTAAACATCTGTAAATATCTTACAGAAAATCACCTATTGCACATATTATTTATAAACAGGAGTCAACTCAGGTCAGTTTGACTCCAAAGCCTATGCTTTTATCTATTACCCAAAAAGGAATTCTACTTCTGGCTCTTTCTGGCTATGACCCCAGGAGGCAGGAATGGTTATGGGGGTGCTGGCCAAGGGTCATTCATCCATTTGGTCAACAGAAAATTTATTACATATCTGCTATGTCCTTGGCACTGGGCATACTAAAGCTTTTCTTTTCTAAAGCAAATCTGAGGAATGTAATACACATTCAAAAATCTCTCACAGTGCAGTTGGAGAAGTTAGTTAAGGAAATACATAAAACAAGTTACTCAGCCTTTATTCTAGAAGTCTATGGCATGTATGGCTGAAGAGGGAGCAGGTAGGGAATGTGAAAATGAAAACATCAGTTCTACTGAGGGGCCTGAAGAGGCTCAGCACACATATTTTCCTGAATTTTTTCTTCTAGTATTTCTGTTTCTATGGTTATTTTGTTTGTTGCTCGAGGTTTTGTCTTTTGGTTTGTTTGCTCTGTTTTCAATTTAGATCCTTAGTCCAGTTGGAAATTTTTAATTTTCTAGTTTTACTAAGGGATAACTTACAAATTGACGGAATTTAAGTTTCACAATGTGATTGATACCATTTCACAAAATTTAAGTATACCACAATTCCATCATCTCACCCAGTTACCTTTTCTTTTGTGGTTACAACATTTAAACAAATTGCAAGAACAAGTTCCATATTATTAGCTTAGTCACCATACTTTACATTAGATCTGAAGTTACACAAGTTTGTACCCTTTGACCCACATCTCCCCGCTTCTCCTTCATCTGCCCCTGGCAACTACCATTATCTTCTGTTTCTATGAATTTAACATTTTTAGGCTTTGAATTACCAGTGAGATCATGCAGTATGTATCTTTGATTTATTTCACTTAGCATAATGATCTCAAGGGACATCTGTTATCACAAATGGTAGGATTTCCTTTATGACGCCATAAAAATACAGCATTTCTATTTGCATGTGGTCTCACTTATTTATTACTACCAATAATTAGAGCTTCTTCAACATCTATTGATATAATCAGTTTTTACCTTCAATTTATCAATACTCAGTTTTCTTGATAAATTCTTATTAAGCTAATTTTTTATCCATTTTTTTGGATATATCTTATTTCATCTTATCACCTTCAAGTTGTGGCTTTTTTTTTTAAATTTTAAATGTGTTACCTGTACAAAATAAAGCTAGTTTTTTATCCAGTCAAACTTACTTTTAATTGGATTACTTAGCTCTTTTATATTCAACCCAAGTCAGTATTAGATTTAAATCCACTCTCCTGGTCTCAGTTGTTCTACATTCCAATCTCTCTCCATTCTTGCTTTCTTTTGGACTAATCAGGAATTGTTCATTCATAATCCCCTCCTGTAAACTTGTTAGCTATTCATTTTTACATTCCTTTAGTGATTATAACATACCTTTTTGATCTCAGAAGCTAAAACAATTCCTTGAACACATCTTGTAAATGCAAAGCCTTTAGAACGTTTTTAACTCCACGTATCCCGTTGCTGTGCTGTTTCCTGGTTTCTGTATGTGCATTTCTAAAACCCATAAAATGGCATCACAGCCGTTCTATTGATACATATTTATTTCCCACGTATTGTCTTGTTATTGCTTTTTCATTTCCGTGATTCTGCCTGGCTTCATATTTCTTATGCCTAAGAACTTCCTTTAGAACATCATGGTGTTTGTTTTTTTTTTCTTCTTCTTTTTTCCTTCAGTTTTCGTTACTTTAGACATCTTTATTTTGACTTCATTTCAAGAACATTTTTGCTCAGCTTGGAACTCAAAGTTGGCAGTCTTTTTTCAGCACTTTCTAGGTAGTATTCCAAAATTTCTAAATTATATTCCTTTGTTAGAACCCAGGTGTTAGTCTTCCTGCTGTTCCCTAACCACCACTACCCCTGGCTGCATTAGAATTTGTATTTTAGCAATTTGACGATGATGTACTTAGGTGTGGGTTAGTTTTGTTTTTAGCCTACACTGGTTTTGTGTTGATTCTCACATTTGTCTTTTGTCTCTTTGGGAAATCCCTTGACCAGTATCTTTTGTTCTTACTTCTGACCGTTCTTTCTCACCCTCACTTTTGGGACTTCAGTTTGCGCGGTAGAAATTTCACCTAAGTTTCTTGTGACTCGGCTTTCTCCATTTCCCCCCACCTTTTGCCCCTCTCTTCTTGCCGTAGTCTAGATAATTTTGCCGACTTTTCTTCTAGGTTATTAATCCTCTCTTCTACTCTGTTGCTAGACTCATCTATTTTAATTTCAGTCATTATATTCCTAGTCCAGATTTTTCCATTTGCTTCTTACAGATTTCAGTTTTCTTGTAATAATTCTCTATGTTTTCATCTATTTTCTTAAATATTAATCACAGGTTTCTGGATATCCGAATTACCTGGGGATTTCTATTTTCTGGGTCTCCCCCTCACGTGGATTCTAACAGTGACAGGGATGGTAATTTTTTAAATTAAATATTTGACCCTGTTGATGTTATATTTTTCCAGAGAGGCATCCTGTAGCTTTAACAGACACAGAAAATATAGGTCCCCTTAATCAAATCAGGGATTGAACTATTTTAGACAGGATTTTTGTTAAGAGCTGGTCTATCTCTAGTTTACCCTCACCTCTACACTAGACTCCTTCATGATCCCGGATGACAATCCAGTGTGTTCTCCACTTTGTGAGCTTTGAATTGCAGTTTTTATATCCCCAGCCCCATGAACTGCCACAGACTCTCTAGTCCCTGAGCCTCACTCACCAACTGAAATATGCCTCAAGGAGAAAGAGGGCTCATACCATCCTCTTCCAGTTCTGCTCTTCCCTTTCCTTCAAAATCTGACCTCTCAAATCCTGGCCTCCTTAGTAGCCTTGACGAGTCAGGTTTTTATCTCCCTAGCCCCCAACAAAGGGCCCCGAACTCTACCTTGATACTAATATCGTCCTGCCTTTATGTTTGAATCTCTCCGGTGCATCTTTTCTCATCACTTCATATTTAATACAGTTTAGTTCCCTTGCTTTGAATGCATTTTCATAATTTATAGATGAACTTTACTTTTCAAACAAAATCTGACAGTCTGCCTTTTGATATTGAAATTCAGCCTGTCCGTGTGTACTGCGACAATCAACATCAGTTTTA